GGAGCAGACTAAGATGTTGAGAACCTGAGAGCTACAGGAAGAAACTATGCGACAAGGGACAGGGAGGTAGCCAGCAAGTGGATGGAAGCAGAGCCATGATGATGCCTGTAAGAAGACCAACAGCCTCCTACAGGGAAGGTCCTGAGTTCAGCGGGGATAAGCGGGAAGATAGATAAAGTGGTGAGGGAGCCCCAGGGAGTTCAGGTGTGGGAGGGAATGGTTACTGCAGTCACAGGCATAAGGATATCACCTAGGAGGGACATGTGGAGGATCTCAACACGTCTCCACCTTTCCCATGAAGACAGGAGGCTCACTGGGAACAACTTCTGGATGGAAATGCAGCTGGGAAGGGGAGGCGGGCTACAGTGTAGCTCAGCCAGAGAGGGTGAGTTGTCCTAGGCTCCATTCCCAGTACTGCCAGTGGGGGAGGGGGAGGGCGAAGACACAGAGACAGAGACAGAGATCAAAGAGGAGAGGCTGGGGGCAGATGTGGTGTGCTGGCAGGAAACAGATGGACCCCGTTTGAAGGGTGAACACACCTGCAGGAGCTCACACTGAAATGAATGCCTGCTCTTAGAAGAGGGTCAATCATTCATGGAAACACCATGATACAAGGAACACTCAAGAGAAGCTGGAATTATCTGAACAGCAAACTAAGGCTAAGGCAGTAAAAGCAGGCGTACCTAATCTCACCTGGACTCTTCGGAAATATTTAGGGGGGCTCTACTACAGCCTCTGTTTCTTAGGAAGCCTGCTTGGATGGCACCAGGCCATGATGGCCTCTCCCTTTCTTCCACGTTTACCAGTGGGTAACTCTGGAGCACCCAGGTTGCAGTAAATGTGGAATCCACAGAAGGGGCACAGCATGGCTGCTGTGCTGAGAGTGTTCACCAGCTGCCCAGAACCTGGGTCAGAGGCCCGTGAGAACGTACTAGCATCATGTTGGAATGCAAGGGGTAAAGAGGAGGCTGCAGCTGGACCCCATATGAGGACAGGAAACAGTGCACATAGTCAGTTGTCACTTTGGGGGAGATAAATCCATAAGTAGGGCATCAACCAGTGAAGACAAAGGGGAGAGTCCACCAGAGGGCAGAATGCCAGCATGTGTGTTTGGAGGGCACGGCTGCAGCTGGAGTGCAAGCTTTACCTTGGGGAGCAGTGGGAGATGAGGCAGGGCTAGCCGAGGGCACTTCCACTTTATCCTGAAGGGCTGCAGGAAGAGGAGGGATGTGGCCACAGGCTGGAGAATGGAAGGGAGCACTCATGGCCACAGGCTGGAGAATTCATGTTGAGGATGGAAGGGAGCACTCATGGCCACAGGCTGGAGAAAGCATGTGGAGGATAGAAGGGAGCACTCATGGCCACAGGCTGAAGAAAGCATGTGGAGGATGGAAGGGAGCACTCATGACCACAGGCTGGAGAATGCATGTGGAGGATGGATGGGAGCATTCATGGCCACAGGCTGGAGAATGCATGTGAAGAATGGAAGGGAGCACTCATGGCCACAGGCTGGAGAATGCATGTAGAGGATGGATGGGAACACTCATGACCATAGGCTAAGAGGCTGGCAAACTCCAGTGAGGTTACCAGTGTTCACAGCTGCTGTGACACTTTCTACAATGTGAAATGGCACAGGTAACCAACCAGTCTATCAATGTCTCATTTCTTTGGGCCTTTTGTTTGATTCCTTCAATTTCCATGAACTTTCATGTGGGTGCCTCTTCGGCTCTATAAGGCTCTGGGGTCTGTGAGGACAGCTATTGCAGTGTCTGTCTTTCAAGTTCTAGTCCACAAGGAGGCTGTCAGCACATGTGCTGAGCGATCCAGGCTTTCCTGAGATCTGTCCTTAACCAACAGTATAATTCTAAGCAAGTGAGGGGCAATGGTCCTGGCCGCACAGGTCCTTGGTCGCATGAACCCCTGCAGAGTTCAGAGGAGACTCAAGGTTCGTGCAGTCTCTTACAATATGCTGGGGAACGAAGGGGAAAAAACACAAGGAGGAAAATAAGTGGGGGTGTACCTAGTGCCTGCTACATAGTGAGAGCCTGCTACATGTCAAGAATCCACACTACACATTAGGGCCTGCTACATGCAAGGAACCCACTACATATTGGGGCCTGCTATATGATGAGCACCCACTATGTGCTGAGCATTGGGTGGGGGGCAAGCTCTATCTAGCCTTGGCTGTCCTGAAACTCACTATGTAGATTAGGCTGACCTTGAACTCACAGAGATCCACTTGCCCCTGCCCCCTGAGTGCTGGGGATTACAAGTGAGTGCTACCACGACCTGCTTTTGTGCTAATCATTTTATTCACATTAGCATGTTTAGTTTTCACCAAATCATGGAAAGAGAATCTCTGTGGTATTTGACAGAAATACCAAGGCAAGGCAAGGTCACTCTGCTTCCCCGGGGCCACAGAGCTAGCAGGTGCCAGCACTGGCATCAGATCCAGGTCTATTTAGAACCCCAGGGTCAAGTAGAGATGGCCTGCACCACAGCAATGTGGAAACGGGAAGGCAGAGAGTGCAGGGTTCTAGGGAGCTGGCCATAGACACGAGGTGACTGTCAGTATCATATTCTTTATGTAGGAAATGCAGACACTGTGACACCCATTTCACAGATTTATTATGAGATTTTGAGTTTGTGAGAGTCTTGCTGAAGTGATACCGAGGACAGGGGCATGGATTTGCTGCACTCAGCCAGGCCTCTAGCAGCTTGCCTGCTATCACAGTCGGGCTGTACAGTAGGCTGGACCCTAAGTTACTAAAGGCCTGGTCTACTCAGCAACCATTACAACTTTCTATTATCACTTGGACAAAAGAATTTTAAAAGCTAAATCTTTATTCTTTGAGGACTTTTCCTCTGAAAAAGAAAATGAGAATGCCATTGATTTTAAAACAAAGACATCCTGGCTGGGAGTGGAGCTTGGTTTAACATTCACAAGGCCCTGGGTTCTAGATTCAAACTGGCCATCAGTTAAGGGCCTCTTTTTTCTCAACTCTCAGACATTTTACTTACATTACTCCACCTGATTTCACAACTTCCTAATACTTGTGGACCACATTTTAACTCACAACCTGATGTATGGCTCAAATTGCATACAAATACAACGTATCTTATTACTTAAGAAAACATTTGCAATACTCTTATTCATTCAAAAGAATTTGATTGAGGGCCCCAGACAATTGTTACCTACACACTCCACAGACACCAACTGATCAACACTGGCCCTGGTTAACAGTCTAACATGATACAAAAAGGCATTTTTGGACCAGGGACTGAATGGAGGGAGGCCAGATAGGGAAAGAACACACATGGCCACCCTGTGAGAATGCTCTGCAATGGGAGGAGACTCTGAGGACAGAGAGTGTTGTAGACGCTCACAGGAAGATGACACAGTGCGAGTGAAAACAGACAGAAAGAGATCTGGGTGTGTTTGGTTGGGTGATGGTGGTGGGATGTAGAGGCTGGATGAAAGCAGGCAAGCTTAGTTAGAGCAATGGCTTATGGGGAGAATAGTAGAGGATGGAAGGAAAGGTACTGGGACCAGAAGAGAGGCCCCAGTAGGCTCTGTTCATTGAATGACTGAGTGACATGAGCCATCTGAGGATGACTCTTCCATAGCAGTGTTATGCAAGATTCCAGCTGCCCAGGAGGAAGTCGAGCTCTGTGGTGAGGCTGGCCAGTCGGGGAACATGGATGTAGGACATTTCTAGAGGGAAAACAGATCTCTTCATCACTAACAGAAGGGAGGAGTCACACCACGAGCTATGAGTGAGCCAGGGGGATCCCAAGGAGGAACTGAAGTGGGGACAAGGGGTGGAGAGGACAGAGGAAATGTTCTAGAACATACCATGGAGGGCTAAGGAAATGTGAAGTTTCATTGATAGTGCTCTATTAGAATGCAAACTTCAAGTTTTTTAACTGCCTAACAAAATGATACCCAAAGACTCTGACCTTTGTCCTTTGACCTTGGAAGAAATCATTGTAGTGTTTGAGCAAGGAGACCATCACAGTGTTGTCATCGTACTTGATTAAGAAGTATGGTAAGGCCGTGACTCCTTCAGCTTGACACAGATCATCGTAGGCATGCTCGAGGGCCTGTATCTGAAAACAATGGAGGTGAAGGCACTCTCTAGGAAATACAGCTCTGAGATAAAGACCAAAACCGTCAAAGGAACTGCAAAGCCAGCTAGGTAGAAATATCCAAGCTCACCAAGTGCCCATTGATACCACCTCTTAACCTTTCCATAACCTTTTCCCTGTGCTATGCCTTCACAGGGGCACAAAGGGGGCACTTTGTGGGTCAGAATGGTGGCTGCCTAAGCTGTCAACAGAGGTTTACAGAGGTAAACAAGCATTCTTCTGTGATAACCCAGCATGGTCCAACCAGTGAGAAAATTTGCCATTATCTTTACAGTTTTGTTATGACACAATACACATGTCCTACAATTCATCCATTTAGAGGGCAGAATCTTTTGTCTTGAAATTTTTTCACTTTTTATTTTATGTGTATGAGTGTTTTTCCTTTATGTGTAAATATGTACCAGGTGCCTGCAGTGCCTGTGGAGGCCTGAAGAGGGCATCAGATCCCCTGACGGTAGAGTTAGGGATAGTTGTGAGCTATCACAGGGCTGCTGGGATCCAAACCTGGGTCCTTAGCGTGAACAAGTGCTCTTAACCATCCCTCCAGTCCAGAACCTATGACTGTTTTTTTCTTTTGGCAGCATGTTACAAGGTTGGGTAATAGTTCCTGAGATGATCTGAGAACGTTTTTTTTCCTTCTTAAACATCAACATTCAATCTCCAACTAGAATGTGTTGACTCAAGTTACGTTTCTTCCTAGGAAATTAGTTGCAGAAAACTACAACCATGCATTTGTTCTAAAATAAATTAATTCTTAAATATTTTTTAAAAAGGTTTATTTATTTTTATTTTATGTATATGAATACTTTTGTGCATGTGTGTCTGTACAGCACATGCATGTAGTGACCAGGAGGCCAGAGGAGGGGTTTGGTCCTTCTGGAGAGGGAGGTACAGCTGCCTGGAACTGCTATGTGCGTGCTGGGGTAAGGACCTGGGTAAGAGCAGTAAGTCCTCTTAATTGCCAAGTCATTTCTCTGCCCCCACCCTGCCTTTAAATCTTTGCCAGCTTCAGAATTCTGCATCTTACTGACATGCTTCTGGAATTCAGATCATCTTGACCCTCAGTCAAGGTCTTCATAACAATCAGAATTTTCCAGCTAGGTCTGTGTTCTGCCAGCCTGATTATCTTAATGGTTCTTGGGACTAACCTCTAATGAAAGGACTAGACCTGTATTGGGTCTGGGGTGGGGGTGGGGCTTGTCTCATAGACTCTCTGTAAGGGCTGTGGCTTTATGTCTTCCCCAGACTGAAGATGAAAAACACACTCATAAATTCTCAGTCTTTCAAAATGTTCCTGTAATTCCTCCCTGTGGGCTTAGCATTTCACCAAGTTTCAGGGCCACCTGGAGGAGGACGGCTCCTCCTCTTCACACTGACCTTATCAGCACTTAGTAAACACAGCTCCCTCACCCTCTGGAGAGCTCCAAGGTGCCTTTTCTCCATCCAGTGACCGCTGCTCAGCTGCCTTGTGAGCCACACACCTGCTCTCAGTTAAGCCTGATTTCACTTGCATTTTTTTTAACTTGCTGATACCTGTTTTGGTGAAAGCCTTTGATCCAAGCCCACAGGTCCCTGGATTAGAGGGATGCTCTCAGGAAGACAGAGGGCGGGGCAGCAAAACCAATAGTAGAAGTGGTACTTCTTCAGGTCCTAGGGTAAACACAAATCAGAACAAAGTTGTATAGAACATCGTGCCCCACAAATGAAACCAACACACATTCATCAATGTAATATATTAAGCTAGGAGCCGTGGTGCATGCCTGTAATCCCAGCACCTGAGAGATGAAGACAGGAGGAACACAAGTTTAAGGATGTCCTGATACATAGTTAGAGGCCAGCCTAGGTTACCTAAGACCCAGCTTCATAACCCACCACAAGAAAAGCCGGGTGCATTAAAAGCTGATGTATACTACGTATGCCCAGATCATCTCCATCAGAGATGGCTAGAGAACACAGAACTTGTGCCTGGACCCCAGGCTTCCTGCCCACATCATCTCACAATATATTGGTAAACAGACTTTCTCATTCAGAAGCAGAAGCTAAACCCTCGACCTCTGCATGCTTTAGGAAGAAGCTTACCCTACGAGGTAGCCTCTCATCCCATTTCACACCCAGGAGGCTTCCATTGGTGACCCCACCACCACCACCACCAACAACAACAACAACAAAAAACAAACCCAAAAACAACAACAACAAAGCACACAGCTATGTTCAGTCCTGAGGAAGCAGTGCTCTGTTCTCTGCACACGGAAGGGAACTCTTCCCCAAAGGCTTGGCATTTGAGGTGGCTCAGATTTTGCAGTTTTTCCAGATGTCAGACTATTTGCATATGTGCTCTGAAATATCCTGTGAATGGGACCTAAGCCTAAACAGGAAATTCATTTTTGTGTTATATACATCTTATCTCCACAACTTGCATGAAATTTTATACAGTATTTTTAGTGCAGCAGCATTTTAAGTGTGAAATTTTCCATTGTGTTACCATGTTGACATTCAAAGTCCTGATCTGGAAACATTCTGGTTTAAGATTAAGGATGTTTCACTGTTTGATAGTGCTTTCCAAAATGTCTTCTTGGTCAAGTGTAAATCAGCAACTATTAAACACCTACTGTGTACAAGGCAAAACACGACACTCAGACAATACAATGACTATGCCTCGGTCCTAGCCATCAGCTGCTGGCCTTCCACACAGAACAGAGATAGTGAGTCTGTGACTGACAGTCTGAGTTAAAGTAGGCTCCAAACCGAGGTATAATGATATCATGCAGGGAACAGATAGATGGTCACTCCTATACCCAGGGAAAGGGGTTTCCCAGCTGTTCTCAACTCGCCTCCCATTCAGCCCCAGGGCCTCAAATGCTTGTGCCATTAGGGCCTGACTCTCTCATGGGCTAGGACTCCAGGGCACTGTGGTCCTGGACAGCCTCTTCCCTCACCTATGATGCAGTGTTTCAGCTAAGGAATCACTTTTCTCGAGTCTTGCTAAGAATGAGAACTGCAGAGCTGTCCCATGACTTTGATTTAGATTTTGTTTGGTTTTGATTTTGTAGGAGTGTGCCATATATGCACATATGGGTGTATGTTCTCAAGTCTGTGGGCTCGTGTGTGTACAAGGGTGCATGTTTTCACAGGTGTATGTGCACACATGTGGAAGCTTGAGGTTGCCATCAAGTGTCTTCCTTTTTCCCTGCCTTAAATACTGAAGCAGGGTCTCCCACTGAACCACACAAACAGCTTTATGGAGTTTGTTTTTGTCTGACACAGCTGAACCACCAGTAATTCTTGAACATTTTTATTATTCCAAGAAGAAATCCTGTCCTTATGAGCAGAACAGCCCTGCTCCCCATTCTCCCAGACCTCTGGACACAACCAGACATTCTCTGGGGATATATATGCCTGTTTCCAGAGTTTTCATAGGAATTGAATCAGTCAATGACTTTTAAAATCAAATATGTGTATATGTAACACAGTTCCAGACACGAGCCTAATGATTACAGTCTCCACACTCTCCATCTTGGTCAGGAATTGATGAACTCAAAAAAGAACCCTTTTCACAATGGCAAAGCAAACTGTCAAATTGAAATAAATGACGGGCCTGGCCCTCTGAGGCCTGAGAACTGCAGACAGGGAAACTGAAGGCCTGGGAGTCCGCTCTCCACCTGTGCATGAGTGATTTGTCATAGCTGATCTTCGCAAAAGGTTAAACAATTCAAGATGGGGGACTGCACACAGGCCGCCAGCTTATCAGGGCATCTCCAGAAGCCAAAGCTTTCTTAGAGCTGTGCTTTGTTCTTCCCAGGATGCAAAGGATCTTGGACAAATTAAACATAAAGCCCTTTGTGTCTGAAGAGTTTAAAGGACCATTTTATTTTTTTGTACAGCCCAGCTAAGAACATTTTGCAAAAAGGGACAGCAAGGCAGATAGCCACTGACTCTAGGAAACTGCTTAAAAGTTGAATAAAAGCTGATGTTATTTTCTCATTAAGCTGAAACTGTTAGTTGGGATCCTTGGTATAAAAATGGATTAATGTTTAATTAACAAGAATTCTTAGTACAAAAAGGTACTCACGATCGAGTAACAAACTCTGAAACCTTTAGCACTAATTAAATCCATCCTACCAAGGAACTCATAAGTAGATAAATGACTGACATCCACGCTGCACCTAGCAACCGGACAGAGCCCCCAGAGTATCCTTTCTCCCACCATCACCCACTGGGCAACGTGCTCCTGGAGCTGCCTGAGGTGTGTACCCTGCCAGCCTCTCTTGTGCCTGGCAGGGAAGGACACAGAGGGCATTTGGAGAAACAAGGCTCAAATAAAAATAACTAAATTGGTACCTTTCTCCCAATGTGTACGAAAACATTTTCTTAATATATCCAACTTTATTAAGCAAATAAATATATCAATGTGTGGAAGGAGACTGATGTCCAGAGTTGATGAGGCTGTGGCAAAGCAACACACTTTAACACACAGGGACCTTAATATGCCTAGAAGCACACACACAGCCAGAGAGGACAAATATCAATATGACTGGCCACTGTGGGTCATGGAAGTGCTGTTCACACTAGGGGACAGGAATCTAGTCCTGAACGTAAACTGGAGTCTATGGACACCCACTTGACAGTACACAACAGTATTTTATAGACATCTGCACACGCAGATGCCTTCCTCAGCTATGGGTTGTGTGTAAACACACTGGGAAAGCAGCTCCTGGATTCTTACCAGTTGGCAGGCTGCCCTTAACAGTTCTAGAAATTAAGTCTTGCATACAGACAGTCTTCTTTTTTTTCTGATAAACAATTGTATGTGTGCTAAAGCCAGGTGGTATGACTACCTCCATCCAGAAGCCCCTTTCCTCTATGCAATGGCTGCTACTGAAACTTTGGATCTGAAGTGTCTTCAGAGGCAAGCAAAAGCTTGGTCCCCAGGCTGTGGTGCTGAGATCCAGTCAAACCTTTAAGAGGTAGGGGTGTAGAGAGCAATAGGATGGAATTAACCCACTGAGGGCATGCCTTTAAAGGGGACACTGGGCACCCAGCCCTTTCCTGGTTTTCTCTCTGCTTCCCAGGCACTATGAGATAAACAGCTCCTGCTTCATGCTCCCACCATGATATTCTCTGCAAGCACAGGACCAAACACGGTGAAGCCAAGAGACCCTAGAGCAACACCTCCAAAATTACGAGCCACCTTCTTATAAGTTAATTATCTCGAGAACTTTGTCGTAGTGACAGCAAGTGGAGTGACATGATGGGCCTCGAAAGAATGCTGGGTGCTTATTTGTTTTTCGTTTGCTTGTTTTGAGATGTACTGTTGCTATGTAGCTGGCCTGAAATTCACAATGTATACTAGGCTGGCCTCAAACTTGTGAGTATCCCTGTCTCCACCTCATGAGGGCTGGGGTGACAGGTGTGTGTCACCACACTTGGTTGCAGGATCCTATTTAACACAGACATTTTCCAGCAACAATGGAGCCTCTGTTCCTTGAGCCTGGTCTATCCTGTGTTGAATGACAGGAGTTGGGTGACTATGTTTGAGAATTATGTAATGGCTGTAGATCAAGAGGCAGAGATCAGTCCTGCACTGCTCACATGTGCTAGCATGATCTCCACTACTCAGCAAGCTTCCCGCTAATGGCCTCAGCACACACTCCCAGGGAACAGTGCTAAGAGATAAGAGCGGAGCCTCCTGTGGGTTCATGGGGCAGAGTCAGGGTTGTGGAGTCTCCGCCCATCTACTTACTGCAAAGGTCAAGAGCAGAAATTTGTTGAGGAGCATGGGGTTCTCGAGAGCAGCGCCTGACTTTATGGCTTCCCAGATCTGCCAGAAGAACGAGAAAGGCATTAGGTCGGGCTGCTGGTTCCTCTGGCCAGCTGCTGCTCTTCTTCCCTTCTGGCCTGCTCTCCAGCACTGAAGTGGCTCATTACCACTCTTTGCCTCCTTCACATTGCCTCTCCAGCAGCCTTGCTCCATCATTATCAGCCGGCGAGAGTACCTGGCACCTTCCCTCAGGGGCACTCAGCACGGAGGAGGCAAGTAGACACTCACACCCTCGAGATGCCCATCAGCGGGGATTCGCTACTGTCTGCTGTGTGCCAGGCATGCCATGGTTGCAGAAATAAAAAGTGCATGCTCAGCTCCATGCAGGACTTTTGTCATAGAAGCGGACACCTGACCCGTCGGCAAGTGGGAATTCCAGGGAGGGGAGGCTCTGAAACGAGTGATTTGAACTAAACTACACAGTGTGACTTTCTTTCTTTTTGGGGGGTGAGGGTGGGTGGGTGGGGAGGCATGTTGCCCTGGCTGGTGTGGAATTCTCTAAATAGAATGGGCTGGTCTCAAACTCAATCGATCCCCTGCGTGTGCTTCCTGAGTGCTGGGATTAAAGGTGTGCCCCCACCACAGCCATCCCCACAGTGAGGCTTTCTCCAAGCTCTATTTGGAGCTTTGAGAGATGAGAAAATGAGCATGGTCTCCATGTCTGAACACAGGGCCAGTGCTGTGTCTGTGGATGAAAGCCAGGGCTGTCACCATCTGGGCACAAGATGTTCAGAGCTCAGCTGCTAAACTATGTCGCTACAAAAGCCACAGCAAATGTTCATAACAAGAACCATGCCCCAAATGCACGCGTGAGAGGAAAATAAACAGATATCACCACCCTGGAGGCACTGGACCATGGACGAGTGGACCTCACTTTCTGATGAGCTGGTTGGGGTAGGGCGGGGATCACAGGAGAAATCTGAGCCTGGTCAAGGTTAGGATTTTTCCCTTCATGGAGGAAGGCCTGATTTAACTCTCTAGAGCTGCATCCACTTCGAGGGAGGTGACCACTGGGACAACACAGAAGACTGGTCTCTCATGTTTCTCCGCCATGTTGGTGTGACTATTGTTAGTGCGGCTCTTGCAGAAGGTCCCTTATTAAACGGGCTCATAAAATACACACAGATGGCAGTGACCACAGCAGAGCAGTTAGCTTTCTTGTGTGTGGGGAGGGGATCCTCAAATCCCTTTCTTCTAGTTACCCTGAGATATTCCACTGTCAAACAACCCCTGTACTGTGCTGCGGGGAGCTAAATGTACCCCTCCCCACTGCTCAGTATCTCCCATCCATCCTCTCTGGCCTCTCTTGCTTTCTCCCTTCCCAGCCTTTACTGTTCTGTTCTACACTCTCCTTGCGTTGAATATTTTCAGACTCTATAGTGAGTGGGGCTCTGGGCTGTTTGTCTTCCTGTGCCTGCCTCATTCCACTTCCTCAAAGGCCTTCCTGTTCTCCCCAAGTTGTCGCAAATGGCAGGCTTTTATTCTTCATGAGTAAGAGCTCTGTGTATATGTACCATAGTCCTGCATGAGCTCACCTGCTCAGGGCACCCCAGCTACTGTGGACAGGCTGCAGATGTGCCTTCAGTGTTCAGACCTCACTTTCTCCAGATGAGACACCAGGGGTGCCACTCTGGAGCACTAGCTGGCTCTCCTCTGAATCCCTGAGCACTTTTACATCCTCCACAGCAGCTGCACTGACGCATCCTCCAATGGTGTGCAAGATGCCATCTGTTTTCTAAGACCAGTGTGAAGACCCCTCAAATAAAGGAGACAAGAAGACAGGCAAGGACCACCCCCTTCACCCCAGTCTTTCATTCTCCTCCACCTCAGAAGTGAAGAGGCAATCTAAAGGCATCCAGGTTGAGAGCACACCCACGGCCCAGGGAGAGGTAACAACACAGAGCAGGTGACAAGCCACCTCACCCACCTGGTACCTCTGAGACACAGGATGCAAAGGCAAGATTGACCGGGCAGAAATGCCAGAGGTCTCAGGGGGCTCACAAGTCAGCCTGGCACCGACTAGAGTTGGCCCTGGCAATACTGGAGGTCTGTAAGTGCCATTGTGGCTCAGGACAGCCAAGCCTCCTGAGGGACAGAGCACAGAGCCCTATGTGCATTTGGTCACAGCAACATAATTCTCAGAGGCCACACTGCTGCAAATGTTCCCTGGACTCCAGCAGCCAAGCTCATTCTCTACCTTAGCCCTGTGGGAATCCCACCCCCAGCCCCACTCCAGAGCCGAGCTGTCTCCCCCTGACCATTTTCTTTGTACAGGAGAGAGTTGACCATATTTCCTATGGGGAAAAAAGCCCTCAAACTCGCCAGCACCTCTATGTATTGACTATTTCTGTGATCGACCCGTGTACCTGAGCAGGCACAGTGCACTTGCCTGGACCCCAGGAAACGCAATGGAGCCGTTTTGGCTGAGCAGCTAACCTCGTTGGCTGACTGTTCCAAGAGGAGCTTCTTGTCTGCAGTCTTGAAGGCCTCGAGCGTGTTGGTGTTGTACAGGGTCCCCATGGCAGGGCAGCAGCGGGCAGGCGTGGGGGCACTCCTAGACATAAGACGAACAGTTACCCAGCATGGCTGGGACCCTGAGCAAAGCACGGGGTGACAAGTGAACCCGACACCCCTGATGGGGAAGTGGACCAATGTTTCTTTGGTCAAGCACAAGAAAGCCGGTGCTGTCTGGGGACCCTCAGCTGTCAGCCTCCCATTCTTCCCAAAGAAAGTTCATCTCTATTTTTTCTCATGACCAAACTGAGGAGGAACTGGCTGAATCAGGAACTGTCAAGGGCCTGAATTCTAACTAGTAGCTCTTTGCCCTCGCAAACCTCATGAAACTGCCTAGTGTGATGGTTAGTTCACGTCAACTTGAAACAAGCTTGTCATCTAGAAAAAGGAACCTCGTTTGAAGATTTGCCTCCATCAGATGGCTTGTAGTCTATGGTCTATGTGGCATTTTCTCTTTGTTGATTGATGTGGAATGGGGGCGGGGCCACCCTTGCAAAGGTGGTCCAAGAAACCAGACTGAGCAAGCAATGGAGAGTAGGACAGCAAACAGCATTCCTCCATGGCCTCTGCTTCTCTTCCTGCCTCCAGATTCTTACCCTGATTTCCCTACATGATGGACTACACCGTAAGCTGAAATAAACCCTTTCTTCCCCACGTTGCCTTTAGCCATGCTGTTTATCACAGTGATAGAAAGCAAACCTGGACACCTGGGGTCACACAATCACAGAGCAGAATGTACAACTCCCACTAGTGGACTTAAGGTACACCCCCACCCACCCAGTGCCGGCTCCAGCCCACATGCCCCAGGCAGCAGCTCCCATGTTCCTGGCTAAAGTCTAGTAACCCAGCACATTTTCAAGAATGGCCTCACATACCCTGGAAGACAGAGAACTTCCCAGGAGTCAGGAATAAGTCCTTCCCTGCTTGTCCCACCAACTGGCCCACACTGCCCAGCTCTGCTCACAGCTGTTATGTCATCTGGGTCATGGATAAAATGCAGGATGGCAAGACTACTGTCAATCTAGGGCACCAGCCACATGGTTCACACCCACTACATTTCCCCAAAGGTCAGGAATTGGAGAGCTAAGAGTGAAGAAGATGGACTGATTCTAAACACAGGCTTGGACAGGGACCCATCTGCTGTCTCTGAAGTGATCAGCCTGAATTTTATATAGTACTGATGTTAAAAGAAAATAAACTTGGTGCTGGAGAGGTGGCTCAACAGTTCAGAACACTGGCTGCTCCAACAGAGGACCCAGATTCAGTTCCCAGCACCCTCATGATGGCTCACAACTGTCTCTAACTCCAGCTGGAGGCAATCCATGCCCTCTTCCGACCTCCATGGGCACCAAGCATGCACACGGTACACATAGGTATGTTCATTCAGGCAAGACACTCACCCACATAAAACAAATAATTAAACCTAAACATTTTTTAAAAAGAAATATTTCCGCTGCTAATGGCTTAATGCTATTGTCATATGGAACTTATACAGCGAGAAGTTTCTGTTATTCATCATGCTGAGGACAGTACATGTGAGAAACATGGTGTCTATTGATATCTTTCCATGTGTGGTGCACAAAGGAGCTGCGGGGGCTGATGGAAAGAGATGCCAATCTAGGACAGGTGAGGAGGGGCACATGAGTAACCATGGCTCTGCTAAACGCCACAGGTAAGCCTTAAATAGCAAGTCCTGGATGCGTGTGTGTAGGGGGTCATCTTTCAGGGGCCAGAGCTTTCCCTTGAGAGCCATGAGTCATCACATCATAGGCTGTCTGTCATCACATTCCTCCACTAAAGAACATTCCTCACCTAGGCAAGGTGAAGGCATGGAAGACAGTCTTGAGGAGAGAGAAACCAGACAGGGCACATTTGGGACTGGAGAGGAGAGGAAGGCAGAGCCTCTGCTCAGCAGGCTTCCCACATCAGACAGCTCTATGGAATCAATGCTGAGGCAGAGGGAAGGAGGCTGAGGTCAAGCACAGTGCAAGAAGGGACTCCGTCCAACATGTCCTAATACCCCAGGTGTGTGCAAGCTGTCACAGAGCCCTGCTCCTGGCAACACCAGACACAGACAAGCTACTGATCACATCTACATCTGACTAGGCTCCCACCAGGAATTACTAGGATTTAATTTGTTAGTAGTAGGTAGTTATGATGGAGAAAGAAAGCTGTAAAGGGAGGGGCTGGAGAGATGACTCAGCAGTTAAGAGCACTGGCTGCTCTTGCAGAGGACCCAGTTTTGAGTCCCAGCACCCACACAGTGGCTCACAAGCACCTGTCACTCCACTTCCGGGGACCTGACACCCTCTACTGGCCTCCTTGGGCACTGCATGCATGTGGTATATATACATGCAAACAGACAAACACACATACACAATATTATTTAAAGAAGCCTCTGAAGGAAAAAAGAAATGCCAACAAGTATTTTATAAAGATAAACACTGAAACTGCTCTGCAATTATGTTATGTTTTTAAAACCTGCAATTTGATGGGGATAAAGGAATAAAGTACATTAATCTTTTGAGAGATTTAACAAAAATAGAGGGGGCCAGTGAGATGGTTCAGAGGATAATGGCACTTGCTGCCAATACCAACCACCTACATTCAATCTCTGGAGCTACCATGGTGCAAGCAGAGAGAACAGCCTCCTATAAGTTGTCCTCTGACCTCTACACATGTTCTATGGCAAACATACACCCACGTGCATGCACACACATTCACAATAACAAACAAAATGTGACTTGTAAACATTTTTTTAAAGGACTAGTGTAGTGGGTAGCTGTTCCAGCTTTGACCTGGAAGTACTACCCCTATTGAGGCTTCAGTAACTGTCACGCCTACAAGGCGGGGCTGACACAGGAGCCCTTAAGACCCAAGATCCAGATGTGCCAGCTCTCTTAGTTCCTGGATCCTGAATGCTGGAGGTAGATTGAGCAGAGTTCTCCGGAGAACACCACTGGACTGTGCTACACCTTTTCCAGACCCTATAACCTATCCCTTTACTTGTAAGTTACCCCACAAAATAAACCTCCCTTTTAACTACATGGAGTTGCCTTAATACAACATCCAATATCTGGCGCCCAATGTGGGGTATATCCAGGTTTCTACTCTGAGATCAACACATCTTTGAAATAAACCGGTTGGTTTAACTCAGGAGTTTTGTCTGTTGTCCAATGTCTCTCTGCAGCTGTTGTTCCTTTCTCATCAGCACTGAGAAAATTCAAGGTTAATAAAGCATTATGCAATCTATTTCTAGGAGTCATTGTTACCTGTTGCTGTTTATTTAGCATATCCTTTAAAGTTCGATTGGATCCTTCTACGACTGCTTGGCCTGTAGGATTGTGTGGTATACCTGTAACATTCTTTATATTGTAATAAGCAAAAAACTGTCTCATTGGAGACATATGCTGGGACATTGTCTTAATTTGTACAGGTATTCCCATGATGGCCATAACTTCTAATAGGTGTGTAATCACAGAATCAGCCTTTTCAGAACTCATAGGAGTTGCCCACTGAAATGGTGTCAGTAGTAAGGTGTACATACTTTAATCTTCCAAATTCTGCAAAATGAAACACATCCATCTGCCAAATTTCATTTATTTGTATACCTTTTGGATTGCTCCCTGAAGGTAATGGAGTTTGATTATAGAAGGAACAAGTGGGACTTTTTTTTTTTTTTTTTTTTTACAATATCCTTAGCTTGTTGACAAGTGATGGAGAAATCCTTCTTCAAACCTTTGCTATTTACCTGGTGTTCCTTTCAACCAATAGAATGGAATGATGGTTCAACAGAGAGCACTGGCTGCTCTTGTAAAGGACGCAGGTTTGATTCCTAGCACCCACACAGAGGCTCACATCCATCTGTAACTCCAGTTCCAGGGAACCCAATACTCTCTTCTGGTTTTTGTGGGCACTGCACACATGTGGTACACGGACATATATGCAGGCAAAACTTATTATATATAAAAAAATAAAAGAAATAAATCTTTAAAACAAAGAGGTACTAGAAAGAATCATAAAATATTCTATAATGATGATCTGGAGGGCTGTTATCTGAGCTCCAGTCAACTTAGATGGTACCAGGTACAGGACAGGCTCTGAAAAGAACTAATTTTTTTCCTACTAAACAAATGTAGCAGACTCAGTAGGAGGCACTGGCTCCGCACCCAGGAGCTTCCTTGACTGCTCAAGGGAACATTCACTCCTTGCCCAAAGTAGGCAGGGTTCTTTGGACTCTGCACAGATCAATACTCACATGTCAAAAGCACTGAACTCCAATGTCAGGCGGGTGGGCAGGCCAGCAGAGTCACCTGTGTGAAACATTATATCTTAGTGACAAACCAGAGTGGTAGTACCCATGTAAAAACATCTACGGCTAGTCATGTCCTTTTATTTGAAAATTGAGCCCAGGGGCCCTATCTGAGTCTGCTAACCCATGACATACAGATAACATGTGCACAGATAACAGGGGATCTTGAGAGAGACTGACAGGGAGGGACTTGTAACCAATATACAAGTATACCCTGAGAATTCCCCACCCCCTACCCTCTGCGCACACACACCAGAAGCTAGCTGAGCAGTGTTTGCTACAACTTGAGTTTCTCCACTCCTCTTTCTTTCCCCAGAGGGAAATTTTTTTTAAATGACTTGGGGGCAAATGTCAAGAAAGACACAAGGAGCTAAAAAACTGTGGATGTAAAGGACAAGCATGTCCCTTATCTAGCATTCATGAGGTGCTGGTTTCCATCCCCAGCACTCTAAAAGTAATAGTAACAAGTGCCGAATGAGGGCTGCTGTCTCCACAGAGGAAGGACAAGAACACAGGGATGGGGGTGAGGCAGGCACCTACCATTGTAGTAGTAGCCCCTGATGTCCTTGGGGGTCTCATCCAGGCGATACTCGTTCAACTTCTTCTGGGTTAGTTCATGCCAGAAGCCAACATCCAGGGCACTATTAAAGGGGGCGAACTGCAGCTTGGACAGTCCAGGGTCCCCCATGGCCACTGTTCTTACCTGTCTACCAAAACAAAACACACAAAAAAAATAGAGCTTAAGTAAAGCAAACCATTGGGGTTGGAAAAATGGCTGAGGGGCTAAGCACACTTGTTACTTTTACAGAGGACCCAGGTGTAGTTCCCAGAACCCACATGGTGCCTTTACAACTACCTGTAGCTCCAGTACCAGGAGACCCAATGATCTTTTCTCCTTTGGCTTCTGCCAAATAAATCTTTTCTTGAAACAACTAGCCAAAGGCAGTTCCAGTGTATAGGCTCCCTTAAGACACTGCTCCTAGAGTGCACAGTCACTCTACCCAGAGTGTAATGTTCACTCACAGACCTCTGGAGCCGGTCCAACTCTTGACAACAGTGCTCTGCACCTTTTACTTATCATCATCATCATCATCATCATCACTAATTTTTTTAGACAGAGTCTCTCTACATAGCCCTAGCTGTCTTGGAACTCGCTCTGTAGACCAGGCTGGCCTTGAATTCACAAAGATCTGCCTGTCTCTGCCTCCCAAGTACTGGGATTAAAGGCATGAACCACCATGCCCATCTCTGCACCCTAGTAGTTCCCTGACCCTCTCCCAGGCACCCAGCACCCACCACTCTGTCACCGTGAGACTGACACCACAGATGCCTTAGCGAAGAAGACTCATGCATGACTTAAACTTTAGTAGCTGGCTTATTTTACTTAAGACACAACTTTGAAAACATCCTGAAGAATTTGTCAAGCTCAGTCTCTTATAGGAGTAATTTGTATAAGCATCCTTTCTGGCATTAACTTCTTGTATCTTGTGTTAGTGATGAGCGTGCACCCAGGCTCCCTCCCACTTGAGGCAAGCACTGGAACCCTGAACTGCACCCTCGGCTCCGCCCTTGACTCCCTTTCTCATGAGTCAGCTGAGGACTGACTCCTTGGAGACTGTCACAGGCTATGCATCCAAAAGCCAGAGTCCCGTCCGTCAGAATGTGGCGATCTGAGACAGGTGTGGCGTCACAGTCTGTCATCCTAACCCCTGGAAGATGGAGGCAGGAGGATCAAGAGGTCAAGATCATCTTTGGCTACTTAGTGAATTCAAGGCCAATCTGGACTACATAAGACCCTGTTGGAAGGAAGGCAGGGAAGGAAAAGAAAAACAAAAAGAAAAGGCAAGAAAGGAGGGATAGAGGAGGAGGAAGACCAAGCTGGAATTCTGCCTGTCTGAGATCCGTGCTGAGCACTCCAGCTGAGGTGGAGTTTAATTCCTTTAAAATCTTCAAGTTGTATCTCTTTTTTCCCTCTCCATAGGGTCTGTGCTGGGGTGGAGAGTGTTGCATCCTTAAGTACATTTTGCATTCTGCATCACAACATGAATTTTAATGTTTTTATTTCCCCACTCAGGTCATCAAGTGAATATGGCCCCGAAAGCAACCCTGCATATGCACCAGGGCTGTGAAGCACCCATGTGCACACCTGGGAACTATGTATGTGCACCGGGCCTGTGAACCACTCATATAGACTATGCATGTGCACCACACCTATGAACCATCCACACACACCATACACGTGCACCTCACTTTTGGGTGCTCACATCTGGATGAACATAGCACTGCAGCAGTGTGGAGTCGGCCTCAGCACTGCAGGCTTGGGAATTTTCCAGTGGCCTGTGTGCACAAATTCCATTTACCAGCACTCATTTAAAATCCTAATGCTGTCTGAGCCAAAGGAAAAATGAAATTCAACTTAGCAACAACCTTGTTTGCCAAAGAGCTGTTTCTGCCTGTGCCTGGCTGTGTGTCTATTTAAAGAAGAACTTGGGTTCAGAGTCACACACCTTCACTTACTGCATGTTTGGCCACCCACATGGGCTGACTTACCCAATATGGGCCTGGATCATTTGGGCTGACTTGGTTATCTCCTGCTTACTCTCCACAGTAGGCAGTACATTGTCACTATTTTTCCTGGCTTCTGGCCGAAAGCACACTTGTTTCTGAGTATTTGCTCTTAACTATACAGGCATGCATTCATATTGGTTTTTACACCCCAGAGCCAACAATTCCACTTTTAGACAGCCTCTGCATTTTCTAGAAAGAAACGCTATGCATTTCCAGAAATTAATCTTAATTCCTAGACTAGAAGCTATTCTATTCTACAAGCTAAAAAATTAATTTTATGAAAAGAGCTAAATCTGAAATCTTTTATTTAAAATCTGTTATGAGTTAACTATCTTCTAAAGGTTGACTTTATTTTATTTTATTTTTTTTTTTTTTTGAGACAACATCTCACCATGTATCCTTGGCTGGCCTAGAACTCACTATGTAGCCCAGGATGACTTCGAACTCTTAGAGATCCAGCTACCTATGCCTCCCAAGTGCTGAGATTTTAGGCTTGTACTACCACACCCTATTGAGGTTTATTGTTTTACACGAATATTTGAATAAGGAAAACCTCCCCCGTGTAAGATGCCTATAATCCCAGCACTGGGGATGCTGAGGTGGGAGCACTGTATGTTAGACATGAGCCTGGGTTACACAGGGAGCTCCAGGATGCTGGAGAGGATCCTGAGGCCCCACCCCTTTTGGAGAAGCTGCTGGTGACTGGTGGCTGCTGAGAGAGGAAGAATCACTCTCCTTCAGGGATGTGGCCCTAGTAGGTAGCTTATACCTCAGTGGGTGGCCACACCCCCATGTGCACACATGCAGCACTGATTGGAATCAGGTAGTTACTAATTATGAGAGATGAAATGGGGACAAGACGCTAGAGGGAGATGACGGGGGTTCTCGGGGAAGCTAGAGGGAGATGATGGAGGCTCTCGGGAAGCTACAGGGAGATGATGGAGGCTTTCGGGGAAGCTAGAGGGTGATGATGGAGGCTCTCGGGGAAGCTAGAGGGAGATGGTGGGGGCTCTCGGGGAAGCTGGAGGGAGATGACGGAAGTTCTCAGGGAAGCTAGAGGGAGATGATGGAGGCTCTCGGGGAAGCTACAGGGAGATGGTGGGGGCTCTCGGGGAAGCTACAGGGAGATGATGGGGGCTCTCGGGGAAGCTACAGGGAGATGATGGAGGTTCTCGGGGAAGCTACAGGGAGATGGTGGGGGCTCTCGGGGAAGCTAGAAGGAAATGGCGGGGGCTCTCGGGGAAGCTAGAGGGAGATGATGGGGGTTCTCGGGGAAGCTAGAGGGAGATGATGGAGGCTCTCGGGGAAGCTACAGGGAGATGGTGGGGGCTCTCGGGGAAGCTAGAGGGAGATGATGGGGGCTCTCAGGGAAGCTACAGGGAGATGATGGAGGCTCTCGGGGAAGCTACAGGGAGATGGTGGGGGCTCTCAGGGAAGCTACAGGGAGATGATGGAGGCTTTCGGGGAAGATAGAGAGAGATGATGGAGGTTCTTGGGGAAGCTAGAGGGAGATGATGGGGCTCTCAGGGAAGCTACAGGGAGATGGTGGGGGCTCTCAGGTAGGATCAACAGGCATTGTACACATATATGGAACTTCCAAAAATTATAGATAGATAGATAGATAGATAGATAGATAGATAGATAGATAGATAGATAGATAGATAGATAGATATAGATATAGATATATAGATATATTATGAAGAAAAGAAAGAAAATAAAATAAATGCTTCTGACTCAGATTAATCACTAGTGTTTAAACTAGGTCAGCAAATGTCACAATGAGTGTTAAATGTTATTTCCTTAATGACCAAGCAAAATATACATCTTTGAGCTTTTTAAATAGCACAAGAATACAACCACCAGCTTGCAGGTGATTAACCACACATTTACAACAACTTGCTTTTTGTTAGTATTTATAATTTTCTTTGGTAACACAAACTGAGCTCCTCGTTTCCTATAATGTGGTTTATTTAACTCTGTTCCAAATCTGGATTAAGAACCGAACTGAACTCAGTACTATTTTTTCTTTTGCTTTTTATATCTATAAAATTTCTATTAAACAGGCTTTATAGAATTTTTCAATTGGTAGAATTTAAATAGAAATAGCTAACACAATAATTTCAGTTTATCAGGACTGAAGATACTATCTATTTTAAAGCCTTTAAATTCCTTTAGTATTCCACATAGCAAGGATTCTTAAACTCTTCCTGCTTATAACCACTATATATTTGAGACCATTTTACACAACCTGGATACACGGGTGAAATGGTTAACATTGATTACCAGGATGGACTGTATACTCAAACTGTGTGGTTAACACTGGTTACCAGGATGGATTGCATACTCAAGCTGTGTGGTTAACACTGGTTACCAGGATGGACTGCATACTCAAACTGTGTGGTTACCACTGGTTACCAGAATGGACTGCATACTCAGACTGTGTGATTAACACTGGTTACCAGGATGGACTACATACTCAGACTGTGAGCCAAACAACCCTGTTCTTCCTTAAGCTGCTTCTATCAGGTGTTTTGTTACAGTGATGGGGAAAGCACCATTACAGAATATTGGTTCCCCAAGTGGGGTCTTTGCTGTGAGAAGCCTGATCGTGTGGTTCCTGGGCCCTTGGAATAGGGTTGAGGAATGAACGTCAAGGGTTTGGAACTCTGTGTTGGAAGAGCCCAAGACTGTTATAAGCAGAGTTTAGTGGGCATTTTGGTGGGAGTTTGGAAGACCCCAGAATGCCAAGGGATACATGCACAGTGGAGGCCAAGATCATGAGTTTTCAGTGGGAGGAAGAGTTCTAACTGGGAACGGTGCCACAGATTGTAGCTGGAGTTTTCTCTCCAGGTCCCGTCAAGCCCTGGCAGTCCAACAGTCCACTTATAAAATAAACACAAAGAAAAGTTCATTATTTAAACTGAGCCTAATGGCTCAGGCTTCTAGCTAGCTGTTCTTATACCTCAAATTAACCCATTTCTACTAATCTATAAGTTGCCACGTAGCTTGTGGCTTACCGGTATCTTAACATCTGCTTCTCATCATGGCGGCTGGTAGCATCTCTCTGCCTCAGCCTTTCACTTCCCAGAATTATTCTTTCTCCTTGTCCCACCTATACTTCCTGCCTGGCTACTGGCCA